TGTCCAGCTCATAGTGGGCAACAAGGAATGGAGATGATCTAGCTGTGAGACTGCTCACAACAGACCATTTACTCCTGACTGTGGGAGTTATTTTTTGACATATTCAGATTAGAATAAGCTGTTGTTTGAGGCAAATAAAAGCAACAAGCATCACCAAAAACAGGCAAAATAGGAACATTTTGGATTGTAACCAGCAGCTGTCACGAGCTGAAGATTTACAGCCTTGCCTTAAGATTCAGGCTTCCATCGAGATCTTTACACTCCTATCTGCTTTCTGAAAGGGCAGCAAAGTAGATCTCCTTTCTAAAGCTGCTTAAATTTAGTGGATGTGTTAAATTTCAGGAAAGAAAAAGTTTTTATGGTTTGTTCCAAGCTAAGCTCTGTGCTGTTGTCTTTTTCAGCTGTGACCTGTCCTGCCTTAGAAGTGCCTGCTCATGGTACTGTGAACTGCTCTCATCCCTCTGTGGAGCTCTCCTGGGGAACCACCTGCGAGTTCACTTGTGAGGAAGGTTTTACCCTGACAGGACCAGCCTCACTGCAGTGTGGGTCTTCTGGGGCCTGGGACAGGCAGCAGCCATCCTGTGCAGGTACCTTTCCTTATCCTGCTCACCTGAGCACTTAGGGCTGTCACCATTGGCATGTTGAACTCCTCCTGAGGCCTCTGTGCTGATTGCTGTTGTGGTCTGTGTGTTGCAGCTGTGAGGTGTGAGGCTGTAACTTGGCCAGAAGAAGGCTTTGTGACCTGTGACCACACTCCTGCAGATCTCACCTATCGCTCACGTTGTCATTTCACCTGCAGTGAGGGCTACCTTCTGGATGGCCCAACCAGCATTGAGTGCATGGCACAAGGACAGTGGTCACAGCCACTGCCAAAATGCAAAGGTAAGACTTTCTGGGTTGGAAAATGCATTTTTCTTGACACTGAGCAGCACACTGAAATCTGTATTCCTGTAAGGGTCTTGGCTCCAAATGAAACTCTGTGCTGTCTCTCGTGTTTTCAGCTGTGGCCTGTCCTGCCTTAGAAATGCCTGCTCATGGTGCTGTGAACTGCTCTCATCCCTCTGTGGAGCTCCCCTGGGGAACCACCTGTGAGTTTAGCTGTGAGGAAGGATTTACCCTGACAGGACCAGCCACACTGCAGTGTGGGTCTTCTGGGGCCTGGGACAGGCAGCAGCCATCCTGTGCAGGTACCTTTCCTTATCCTGCTCACCTAAGCACTTAGGGTTGTCACCATTGGCATGTTGAACTCCTCCTGAGGCCTCTGTGCTGATTGCTGTTGTGATCTGTGTGTTGCAGCTGTGAGGTGTGAGGCTGTAACTTGGCCAGAAGAAGGCTTTGTGACCTGTGACCACACTCCTGCAGATCTCACCTATCGCTCACGTTGTCATTTCACCTGCAGTGAGGGCTACCTTCTGGATGGCCCAACCAGCATTGAGTGCATGGCACAAGGACAGTGGTCACAGCCACTGCCAAAATGCAAAGGTAAGACTTTCTGGGTTGGGAAATGCATTTTTCTTGACATTGAGCAGCACACTGAAATCTGTATTCCTGTAAGGGTCTTGGCTCCAAGTGAAACTCTGTGCTGTCTCTCATGTTTTCAGCTGTGACTTGTCAAGCCTTAGAAATGCCTGCTCATGGTTTTATGAACTGCTGCTGTTCCAAAGTCAAATTAATTAAAAAATACAGTATAAATCTAGTGTGAAAAATAGGGCCTGAGACAGGAAAATCCTTAATTACTCTTAACCATTTCTTTCTCTATTTCAGTTGTACAGTGTGAACCACTGAGCTCTCCGGAGAAAGGCTTCATGGATTGTTCACATGGTGCTGGGAACTTCACTTACAACACAGCCTGCCACTTCAGCTGTCTGGAAGGATGGAGGCTCAATGGTTCTCATGTTCTTGAGTGCAGTGATTCAGGGAACTGGACTGCTATCCTGCCCACATGTGAAGGTATTTGACCTATGACTAGCCACAGAGATATGGCACAGGGCTTCTAGTCAAATGAGGTATGGAAGGGTGGAGGTAACACCAACCAGTGAGCTAGAACTTATAGTGAAGTCTGTTAATTAAAAAGCCAAACAAAATATCTTTGTATGTTTTTTTGAAAAAAGAAGAGAGAAAAATTCCTTAAAGGTCTGTGTTGAAAAACATTGATTTCTTAAAAAAACAACAACAAAAACAAACAAACAAATCCAACAAAACAAACAAAAACAACCAAACAAAAACCCCATTAAAATCTGATTTCAGTTTGGTTTATTTGTTTTTTTCATTAAAATATTTCTCATGCTGTGCTTTTTTTCAAATCAAAGGAAAAAAAAACAACAGAACTTTTGTGAAGAAGCAGAACCTTGTAGGTCTGTTTCTCAGTGGAAAAGTTCATAACTTCGTTAATTTGGTGTGATTTCTTGGGTGAACTCCTTAGCCAAAAGACCTTACAGAGCTTCTTAGCTTTTCAAAGTCTGTAATTTTACAAGACAGAAGTCTTGGCCTTGCCTTCCCATTCAAGGCACTAAGAGCTCTGTCCCTGTCCTCAGCAGGCACATACTTGGCTGGCCTGAAGTACTTTTACTTGAGGTCCTAAGAGCTCAACTTAATTTTATTTGCTTGAGCAGAATTTAGAACCTTGAATAATTTCATGGATCTTAATGGGATTGCTCAAAGGAGGAAGGCAGCACAGTGGGAATTAAAATGTGAGCTGAAACATGGAAAATAAGTGGAGCACAGATTTTCATGTGATGCAGGAGGTTAGACCCTGGTATAGCTCACTTGTTGCCTTGCCATTGATTTGATAATGGCTGGGATAATTTTTAGTATTCTGCTTTTAACCTTGTGTACAGGATATGTCCTATCTCAGCAAGAAAAAACTTAAGGGTTACAAGATACAAGTCTGGTTCCTCTTGAAGAGCACAAGGAGAAGGAAGAAGTAGAGAGGGCTTCCAAGACCTCACATGCCTCTTGATCTCACTGAAACTTTTTCACCCTTTCAGCTTCTGAACAAGCCAGCTATATCTCTGTGGGCATAGCAGCCACAAGTGCCTCCCTGTTGTCCACAGCATCATTCCTCCTTTGGCTTGCAAGACATTTCCGAAGAAAAGGTGAGCAATTGGACTAGGTTCACAATTTTTATTTACCTGCCTGAAAAATCTTCAGTGAAGAGAAAACCCAAACAATCCTCCAAACCCCAGTACTTTGTTTTTTTAAGAAGTGGAAATTCCCAGACTTAAACAGTTTAATTCAAAGATTCTTTTCAAGAATTCTGCATGCATGCCATGTTTGGCTTTTGCATGAATGTTTAAGAATAAAAAAAATAGGAAAAACTAAATGTTTAGAAAGCAAGAATTAGAAGAAGAAAAGCAATTCTCTATCAGTAATTGCTACCATGGAAAGTGAATAAGCATTTGACATGAGGCTAATGACAACACAGTAATAACTAACTGAGATTTTTTGCTAGAATAATGCCTTTTTATCAGATATTCAGAAATTACAGGGTTTTTTTAATAGAAGAAAGTTTCTGTGAGGGGGCTTTCATCTTGAAATACTAATACCTTTTCCTATTTTTCTTGCAGCAAAGAAATTTACTCCTTCAAGGTAAGATGTGTCTCAAAAATCAGCATAAGAATCACTGCAATAATTTTGCTAAAATCCATTTGATATAAACCAGTTGTCATTAAAGTACTTCTCATTTCTGTTTTTTTTATAGTAGCTGCCAGACCCTAACTATTGATGGGAGTTTCCAGAGTGCTGGCCAGAATGTCTAATTCCAGATGTTTCAGGTAAGCACATGAGATGCACTCACAAATTTTCTTTCTCTTAATCACAGAACCAACCAGATCTGTTAATTGCTATGCAATTGCTGAAACAGCAATACGTGCTTTGGGGTACCTAACGGGCATCTTGGCATTGCATGAAGGCTCCTAACAAGGCTGAGGGATTTATTGCTTCAGAAATGGTTATTCAGCTCCTTGAGGATGATTGTGCTTAGCATTCTGTCCAGCTGCATGTACATTAGGAACACTTTGCATTTTTGCTACCTGCTGCAGACAAAACTCTTCTGAAGTGAGAGAAAATACAAATCTATGCTAGTTTCCCAATTTAGAGAGGAATTTTGTTCTCTCTGCAGGAATTGAAGCCATCGTTACTTGTGTCACAGATTTATGGAGAATGAAACTGCATGCAAATCAGCAGCTGTCCAGATGTTTTTACCTCTTGCTGACCTTGTATATTGAACTCAAGCTGTCTGGTATTTCCACTGAATACAAGTAGAGAGTAATACTCTGGCCTTCTGGCAAAATACTGCTTACATTCAGTCATGTAGTTACCAGAACTGGGAGCTTGCCATCTCTCATCCAGATGGTGAGCAAATACTGTGCTGCTGCCTAAAGAGGAGGCTGGTTTCTCCTCTGTTGTACTCAAAGGTACCTAGGTGAGGTGAAGACATACATTATTTCACATCACTTACTACACTGCTGGAGATGTCCCCTCTGGAGACATATGGGCTATACTTGCAGAAATAGAATGACCAGGATGAACAAATATTCATTGAGAAGCTTTGAAACCATTGATCTGCTTTACTGTTGAAGTTTATGTTAAGGGGATGTCCCAGTCAGTAAATGTGCCTATTGAGATATGGGCAGTTATTTGAGTTTCTGCTGTATGTCCCAGAAAGTTTAGGAATTTTAAACTCTCTTTGTTCTAGCACTCGGAGTTGTAGAGCATATACTAGGTACTTTGGTTTCTGAATGCAGCATGTAGATCTCAAATGATGTCATCCCTGTGGGATTATGCACTGTAATACAGTGTATATACAAATATTTAATTTTGCATTTTTTACTGTGGATCTTTCTGTACTGTTAACTGTAAATGTATTGTAAAATAACTGTCCTTGAGTAGGCCTGTGGCCATTGATCTGGGTCCAGGTAATTTTAAAATAATTCAGAGGTGTTTCTAAGGATTTCATGCCTGCATATTATTTGCAAATAAAATGGAAGCCAGAGATTTGTGTATATATATTGCAAGTATGTTTTATGAAACTCTTAAAGGACTTTAAATGAGAAAGTATTTTTTAATAACTTAAACATAAATTATAATCATAAATTAAAAATCTCTGACTTAGACTCTGATATGTATTGTCATATTTGCAACTGTATTTAATAAAATGTTTTAAATGTAATGCTACCTTTTTTGAAGACGTACATAATTTAAATAATTTAGGCCAGCTCTCTGGATATATGGCTTCAGCAGCATAATGTGAGGGACTGGGGAACACTGTAAATAGGAAGGCTGTCTCTTATTTAGCTTTCCATGTTTTCATAGCAGTGAAGGAAAGAGTAGCCAGCAGATGGCACTGGCTGCCTGGGAGCTAGCACAGCCAGAGCTGGACTGCAAATCAGCGTTCCCAGTCCTGAAAGGAAGGAGGAAAACTCAGAGATGTGTCCCATAAAGCAGGTCCCTGGATCAGCAGTGAGCTTTGCAAAAGGCATTGTTCAGGAGGGAGAGGAGAGCAGAAAGAGAAGCAAGTAGGTGATCTTGATGTGTAGTTAACAGCACAAACCTCTCAGCCCATGCAGATTTTGGGAGTCCTTTCTGCTGGGAAGTTAGCCAAGTGCTGGGAAACCATGGTCTAACAGGTGAGAGCACAGCTCTGGGGATTAGCGGTGACTGTTGTCTAGGCACATCCACTCCCATCGCGACTTGAGCTGTAGCCAAAGACTGCCATGGGCTAGTGCTGGCGAGGTGCCTTGTGGTGGCACTCCCATGGCCACACTTCCCCAACCCCTGACATAGCCAGGAAAGTTGCACTGTGGCTCTCCATACCTGCTGCCAGGAGCCAGCCCTTGATGATAAACGAGGAGATGTGCATTCCTCCCCTAGGCAAGGCTGAAGAGGAGCTGTCTGGCTTGTGAGGAACGGAGTCAAGAAGTGCTGTGCCTCTGTGGATAGGGCCCATTGCTGCTTATCCCAAACCGATTAACAAATCGAGAGCGGCTGTCAGTGCTTCCCCCGCCTTGACAAGGTGTGGCCCAACCATAGGAGCAGATGTAGAGCAGTAATCCTTCAGGTTCCCTGAGGGGACCTAGAGATTAGCCCGAAACGCCCTGCTCTGAATCCCTGCAGGAGCTGTTTTGAGAGCTAAACCACCACATGGGTCCCCCAGTCTGTCCTTGTTGTTGTCCTTCTACATGCATGGCCCTGTAGTGTCCCCTGGAGAGAGCTGCTCAGGCCAGCATGGCTCCTACCCTGCTGCAGCTCAGGACAGTCCAGCTTCTCCTTTCATAGGACTTGACCAGAGCTGGTGCTTCTCACAGCTTTCCCTGGGATCTTACAGGGGCTTTATTGCCAGAAAAGATACTGTAAATTTAGCCCCTCTCTTTTTTTTTTTTTTCTCATCCCTTGTGATTTCTGGAAGCAGCAGGAGTAAGACCACATTTGAGTGGGATTAGTCTCTCTCCTATATCCCCTAGACCAGACAAAGTCTTGCGGAAGGGGATCTCGTTCCTTTCAGTGACTTGCAGGTTAAATCTATCCTCATAGTTAATGTTAGTCCAAGGCACAGACAAAACCATGGCCTGTGCTTGTCCAGGTTGCTTGATTCTTGGTGCTCTCCTGAAACTGTTTTATCCTGCTTCAGATTATGAATTACCTGTTATGATGGCATGGTGTGTCCAGGCCTAAGGATCTTCAGGAAGTCATTTTATTTGCAGTGGATGTGACTGTTGCAGTGGCTGTAAAGACAGCTTTTCTGTAGTTTGTATAGTTCCCATGCTGGCAAGAATGTCCATGGGGAATGCTTGCTGCCAGGACATCCACCATATCACTCTTCTGTAGGGTGCAGTGTTGTATAACCACCAAAGGGCCCCAGGGTCTTTGCTGGGGGGACTTGTTTCCTGTTGTCCCATTTCCCTTAAATTCCTCAGCTCTCCCTGGGTCTGGAGCATTGTTCAGAACAGGATCTGTGTTTTGCCTGGCATCTTATTTTGGAGTGGATGTCTGCTTGTGCTGTGACCTATGGAAGCTGTGAAGGTGACATTAACTGGGAGGCACGCATGTCCTTTCACAGCTCTGCGTGTCTGCTGCTTGGCAAGGGGATGGTTTTTGTGGCTTAACACATTCCTGATGAACCAAGCTACCCAGGTGGCTTTAGCTTTTTACATTTACAGTCTGACAGAAGGGAACTTAGAAACAAAATTTCACTTAGTCTCAAACAGGCAGGTAGTGTTGGATTTGGGGAAGGTGTCTCTGTGGCCCTTGGTGATATGGACAGCGTAAGCCCTGCCCAGATTGGGTTTGTGCCTTGTTTTCATAAGCAATTAGCCATCAAACAAGCAGTCATTTATGAGGGCCTGGCTGTAGTTGCCTTCCAGAGTTCCAGTTTTCAAGGGCTGGACTGGACCCAGCATTTGGGCTAGCAGTTCTTCTTCACTCACAAACACAGGTCACTGCTATAGGCACTGGAGACTGGAGATCTTTGCAGCTTCTCACCTGCTTTGCTGAGGACTGGAAGCAGGGACTTTGACACAGCAGCTCCTGTAGGAGCTGGTGTCATGATCAAATCACTAACCTGCTCATTCTGAGAGCTGTCAGAGGATATTAGAGCCAGGAGACCAGACTGCAACATACTTAAGTCTCTGTGTGTCTGGTTTCTGCCCTGAGTCTTGCTCTTGTTTGAATTCCTTTGGTTTTTGCAGGGGGCTGGCTCCTTCCTCTTGGCCTCTCCAAGCTCTTGGTCAGGAACAGAGAGGAGCAAAAGATTGCTGTTCTCTGGGAGCCATAACTTGCATTGCTTGAGGATTGCAATTTCCTCCTTTTGGTAGTGGGCAGCAGAAGCTTAGTGGAGGGTAGAAAAGCAGGCATCAGAGCCCAGCCTGTCATAGCATTTGGTCAGTTGTACTGTGGATCTCCCCAGCCTGGTTTACAGCCTCTCTCATGCAAATCTTTAGGAAAATTTTTAAGCAAAATTGCAGGTTAGATTTGGCCAGTGGAGTCAAAACCTGCAGGATGGTTATGGCTACTTTTACCTAGCACTATTAAATCTCACCTAGAAGGATAGCAGACTTGGGGAGCACAGTTCAGCTGTTCTCCAGTGGTGAGGAAGAATTCCACAGCCCAGAAAGTGTTTCCACAGCTGATGGTGGCCAATGCTTTTTCCAGCTCGGAAAAGCTGCTGCCAAGAACAGGACAGTGCGTAAAAAGCACAAATGCCTCCTCAACAATGCAGCAGATGCTCCAGGGCAGCTGCCAGCAGGTTTTTTACCTGCCTTCCCACTTCAGGAAAGGACATTCCCTGAAAAGCCCAACAGTTGCTTTGACTTTCAGCCTGGGCCAAGTGGGACCTTCATCAGCTTCTCGCCTTGCCAGCTGCCATGAAAACAGCAATGGCAGGTGTGAAATTGCAGGTGACTTGCTTGCTTCTGGCACTCCAGTGCTGTCATTATGGGCTTTTGACAGCCTGTAAGTGGGCAGGAAGAGGGAATCACACTGAATCCATGCCTTCTGGAGCAGGCCTTGGGTCATGGAATGCTTGAGTGGAAGGAAAAAGCTTAAAGGGGATACAGGAAACACTTTGTTCAGGGCTTATTCCACAGGATGATTTCTGGGAAAGGCGGGGCTGCAATCAGGCAGGATGTATTCACTTTGGAATCTAGGCAAATCAAGCCCAGCCTGGCGTAAACCAAGAAGAAAATATAGTGTAACCCACACTGCACAAAACAGTGATGTCCCTAGTTCATCTTATCTTGTGTCAGTGAAAACAATTCAGATA